TTAAAAAATTCACCTTAAACTTCTAATAACTTAGGGCGGATCCTGAATTACACGATAAGTTCTGATTAAATGGTGGATATCTCGTGTCATTGTTGACGTAGTTCCACCAAATTTTTTCACAGTTACACTCTAGTTATGAATCATGTAGATTTGATATAACTATTGTTAATTATAAGCCCACGTCTCTCAAGAATCAATAAGGAATTAAGAAATTAAGTAATTATTTAATCACGTTTATTGGGAATGACATTGTACGAGATTTTAATATCAATTCTATCATAAACATTTTTAATGATACGAACTAATATTGAGCACACCAATTCAAGTTGTCTCACTTTAATATATAGATTGCTTTATAGTTACTATTTTTTGTAACTATATGTGGATACAAAAAACATTTGATTTATACATATATTTACTTTTATATTGGTAGAAATTGATATTATAATAGAAATTGATATTATAATACAAATTTTATTTTTAAAAAATTTGTTAGTATATATATGTTCGCCCTCCCTATTTAAAAATCCTGGGTCCATTCCTGAGTACAATGGGATATAAAAAAAAAAATTACAAAAATATATAAGGTGCAAATGACAAAAACATATAGGGTGTAAGTCATTCCATGATATGGGGTGCAAATGAAAACTGTGAAGATGCAACCCCTCCATATTTGTATAATTTTATTTTATTTTATTTATTTATTTATTTTTATCCACTAGGATGTAATCCTGCCTTTCTTTCCTTCATTGACCTAGCAAAACATTTTTTGGGGGTAAATTACACTGACGTCCCTTGAGCTTTCTATTTAATACAAATTCCCTCTTTATATTTAAAAAATTATACTTATTCCCCTGTTAGATTAAAATGACATATTTACCTCTTAACCTTTATACATGTAAAATAATAAAATCATACAGATATTTTGTCCATGTCATTTCATGGGAAATAACAATCATCTTCTTTGGTTTAACTCATAAAAAATGAATTTTTTTATTTTTCTTTTTTTTTAATTTTAACTAAGTTTTTAAAAATATTTTAAGCAGTTTTTTTTTTTTTAGATACACCCAATCTAGATGTACTCAAGAAATATAATATTTTGTATTTTTTTTTAAAATTCACCAAATATAAAAAAATATAAAAAAAAACACAAAAAATCAATACAGCATCTTATTTTATTCAATGGAATTTTTTTTTTTTTGGTACAAATTTTATGCTTTTTAAATATATTTAGATTAAATTGATCTAATCTGATATAATGGTGAAAATAAAAATGAAAAATTATATTCATATTTAAAAAAATTATAAAAAAATATCATAAATTTTTTGTGAAAGGATATTGTTATAAATATAAATCCTGTTTATGGGTGTTTTATTTTAAAATGAAAGGTCACCATTAAGTTATATCATTGTATTTGAAAATTCTATATAAAATTATGTCTGTATATCATCACTTAATAAAAATATATTCAGATAGAATTTAATGATGAAAAATTGTAGAAGTGTAATCACAATGATAGGAATAAGAAATGGTAGAAAAAATGGCAAGATGGTCATTTAGAAAATTTTAGAATATGACGTCAGTAATTTAAGGGGCAATTTATAATGAGATAGACTAAGTTTTCAAATTGCTCCTAAGATTTGTTGGACTAGTGTGGGGGGTACGCTTCTCGAGATTAGACGATTAACACAAATACCCAATTATTAAAATTAAAAAATTAAAAAAAAAAAGGAAAATTAGAAAAACATCATTTGACATTTGCTTTAAATATAGATTGCTTCTCGATATTTTGAAAATTATAAATATCTATTTTAATTTTTTTTTTATAGAATTAACACAAAAAATAAAATTTCCAACTACTCTCCTATGCAACAATAAAATTACCAAAATTGTTAATTGAAATATTTTTGATATCATTAAAAATTATTAAATAACTTAATGATTTATTAATAGAAAGGGTCATTTTTATTTTGATGTACCGAAAAAATAGAAGGGGTCATTTGTTATGTGATTAAAAATTTAAAGGGGATGTGATATAATTTTCAAAATTACATGTGACAATTCATATTTTAAGCATATCTGAATAAATATATTTGTAATTTACTAAAAAAAAAAAAAGAAATTACGACCAAAAAAACAATAAAAAATCAAGGTTTGACTCTTGTAAAAAAATAAGAGTGTTGCTATTAGTACCCTATCAATTATTTTGGACCCTCAATTTTTTAATTTTTTTTATTATAATAATAACCCCAAATGAAATTATTAAAAGGGACGACAATAATTTTGGTACATCTCATCTCACAATTTAAGTCGACACACCAACTACATCATGAGTTTAGATTTATGAGAGCACCTACCTCCATCACCACCCATCAATCTTCTCTAAATCCCACATTCAAAACCTAAACTTCTCTAGCAATGACAATGAGTGAAAGTTTTTCCGGCAACCACAACTCCATGAAACGATAGGAGTATAGAAATAAAAGTTCAAAGGAGGTTAATAACTTTGATGGTATTCTTAACTCAAAGGAGATCGGCCTTATAAAGGTAAGTTTATTAAAAAAATGATAAAAATAATAAAAATTGTTCGTCATTTTTTTTGAACTGAACTCTCGAACATATGACCGAAATTCGGAAACACAGGTCTGAATATTGTTTATTTGTTCGGGAACATGTAACCGAACATTTATTTTCCCAGGTTATGAACAAGTATGTAAAAATGAAATAGTAATCACCTTCGTGGTTTTTGTCAGGATTTTTGTGAGAGAGGTTTTTGGGATGTGGGGATGTGCATACAATTGAATGGGTGAAATGTTTTTACAAGGATAATTTTGATATTATTTGGAGGGAGAAAAGAAATTTTAAGGGTTTCAGAATTTATAAGTGGGGATATAAAGAAATGGAAGGTCCAAAATAATTGATGAGATGCTAATAGCAATACTCCAAAATAAACCCTTAATTTTTTATTTTATCAATTTAAACTCTAATCTTTTGACTTCTTTTCAATCTAAATCATTCTCATATTTCCATTAAGTAAAATCAAAACACACACACACACACACACACACACACACAGAGTATTTTAGCTATTAAACTCGATGTAAACGTATGTTTAAAATATCATTTTTTGTTAAGTTTAATAACTAAAATACTATTTTTTCCATCATATTACTTAATGAAAATAGACAAATAATTTATATTGAAAATAAATCAAAATATTAAAGTTTAAATTTACAAAATAAAAAAACTCAACATTTATTTTGTTACAAATATCAAATCCTAAAGTTTGTTTTTATTTTTTTGTTTTTTTTTTTTTTTTTGTTTTTTAAGTTTCCAAAAAAAAAGAAGTTTTCAATTAGACAAACCGATCATTTTCTTGGAAACTTCATAACCACAATTAATTTGACTAACAAGCACAAATGTCTATAGAAAAATATAAAAAACGAGAAATTACAAAATGGTTCTTTTATGACCATACCATTTGAAAGGGGAAATATATAATTTTCAAGACATGGTGTTGGACTTCCAACGGCAAAGAAGGCATCAGCATCTTCAGGTTTGAACGAGTCACAAGGAAGGCATCAGCATCTTGAGGTTTGAACGAGTCAACTCAAATGGAGGAGTAAGTTTGGTGTAAAAATTACGTAATACTATGAATCCACCTTATCAATTTAGATATTATTTAGAATTTTTATCTTGTAATTTAAATTTATTCTACACATGAATCTTACATCACACAAATTCAATCACAATCACACAATTCCCTTCAGAGTAAATTTGGGGAAGTTAAGGGCGGATTCCTAGAATTATTCTCAAGAATTTTTATCTTATAATTTAAATTTATTCTACACATGAATCTTACATCACACAAATTCAATCACAATCACACAATTCCCTTCAGAGTAAATTCGAGGAAGTTAAGGGCGGATACCTAGAATTATTCTCAAAAATTTACTAAGTTTAAAAACATGTTTAGGATTAATTTGCTTACATAACAAGTTGATCTCAAATGAGTTTTTCACCAAGTCAAGCTAGCTTGGTTTTATAGAATGCTTTAAATTTTTGGATAAATTACAAAAATCCCCTTGAACTATGATCCATTACATTTTGTCCCCTAAATTCCAGAACTCAACAATTAATTCCCTTAAAATATTATCTTATTACAGTTAACCCATTTTGTTAGGATTCTGTTAAGAATATACAAAAAATTAGATTTTGCATAAAGCACATGACATATTTATTAAATTTTTACGGCAATAATGTTCTAAAAATGGTGACTCCGTTTGCATTTTGTCACTAAGATAAGAGAAACAAAGTATAAATGAAATTACCATATAAAAATATTATTATCCTAAAACAATCATTAATGGATATTAATGTCCTAAAAATTCAATATACGTGCCATGTGCTTTGCACATGATCTAATTTTCTATAAATTTCTATTAGAATCCCAACAAAAAGTGCTAGTTGTTGAGTTTTGAATTTCAAGAGACCAAATACAAATGAGTCATAGTTTAAGGGGGTTTACTGTAATTTATCCTAAAGTTTATTAATAGGTTGGTCACTTGACACTTCAAGTCAAGTTGTAATGTCACTCTTTTGTCCATCTATCGTTAATGAGGTTTGACAAAAATTAAAAGTCAAGCAATCAAAACGCGATTTTTGTGAAAGTGCAACTGCTAAAGCAAAATTTTGTTGAACGTGTATACTGCTAATGACGCAAGAAAAATATTACATATAGCGTACATGATTGAAAGTGAAAGGGTCTAAATGTTAAGTGTAATTAATAATACTAGGGAAAATTACAATTCATACCCCTATACTTTACACTTAGTTTCACTTTGACCCATTGAGTTTTTAATTGTCTTAGTCTCAAAACTACATGGAAACTTTTTGACTATATTTGAATTATAAGAGATAAAGTGCTCAGCCCGAACCACAAAGGTGTGAAATGAATTTAACCCAAAATTATAACCATTTATATGTGACATTAATCAAATGAGAAATATACATTGCACCCTTACATTTTACATCAATTTTCACTTTAATTTTTTATGTTTCAATCATAACAAGTCAACATCTTACACTTAGAATCGAATTTTAATGTAGTCATTTTAGTAGTTTAGTGCTAATACAATTGACGAATTTGTGGTGTGAGCAATATAAGACATTTTAATGACAAGTACACTTTGAAAATTTTAGATGATAACTGGAATACTTATACATGTACTTCTTTACTTGCCCAATATTGCACAGGTTTCCTCCACTGGGTTGGCACTATGTTAGTAGGTACTTTAGAAGCAATGTTCGGATCATTCTTAAATGGAATCCAATACTTGGACTTTATCTTGCTTTTATGATCTTTCCACGATGTCCTACAAAATCGCATGCAAACCTCTTTGAATTCATCTGGACAATATACCAAGTTGTCCTACAAAGCACAAATTAGAAGGGGACATGTTGGAGGATCCATAGAAACCTAAGAAATGCATGAAATTATAAGTTCCTAAAATTATAATAAACATGTATGTTGGGGCTATCAATAAATTGAATTATTAGATATTTCAGATTATCATACCTTCACCTCTTGCCAATGCATTACATTCCAACTGAGATATGTGAGTGGGACTCTATGCCCGCTGCACACGATCAACCCCAATTGTCCCTTCAACTTTTTGCCATCATCCTCCACTGGCTGAAACTTATCATCAAATTTTACTTGGATCTTAGTGCCCGTATCCCATTCCGTTATCCCTCGGGAAAATCCTCAACCTTGTCGTGTACTTGAAAATCATTAGACCTGAAAAATCTTAAACACAAATAAAACAATACATTAATTAAAATAGAAAATAAAATGCAAACAAACCTAATGATGGCTATGAGGAATAATACTATATGTGGAGATGAAACGGATGAAGATACTCCATCCATAGTGCGAGGTAGTGAGGGACTTGCCCACAAATGTAAAGCCTCATTCGTAGTGCAAGGGGCCTTAAAGGTCTTTTTCTTTCTCTTCCGCTTCATCCTAAAATGAAAGAAATATGAAAAGGTTAATCCCACATAGTGCAAACCAATAGTAATAACAAACCCAAAAGCATAATCCTGTAATCATACTTAACATTTCAAGGCAAAACAATCATTCCATAAAAAACAAAAAACAAAACAAAGAAACAACATCAAAGTCAATTAATCAGCCAAAAAAAAGACAAATTTATTTTGTTTGGAAATACATAATTTCATTTCATATACCTCCGTAACAGCAACAGCGACAATAGAAGGTTTCACATTACTATTATATTTTTTGCTATACATTCTATATTTTAATTATATGTTTTTGGTATTCATATTTTAAAACTACTTAAAAAAAATTCATATTTGACACATGAATGGAATGACTGGTTGGTGGTGGCAAAAGTGTAGGGAGAGGAAAGTTGATATTGGCATCATGGCATAAGTGTCGTGTCTGGCCTCAGATTAACACCAAGCTCTAAGGAACCCACTCCATATATAAACAAACATTCATTCTTAGTTAATAGAATTGAATAAATTTATTATTCACATTCTGTCAGTGTATGAATAAATTTATTTTTTTCAATCCATAACAACGACTCTCAGAGAATGCTAATTCCACAACTGCCATTCTGTAATAATAGAATTGAATGCTAATTCCAACCTAATTCACTCACAGAATGCTAATTCTATAACGACTCTCAAAGAAATAGGCAACCTAATTCATAATAAGCTGATAAATTCATAAAAAGCAGAGAAATTCATAAGCATTTTAAATTATATCTAAGAAAAGCTTGCTCGATACCGATTGTATAGTAGATAATACTATACTCGTCATCTCAGAGTACATCAGGTTTATCTGATTCATTTGATGGACATAGAAATGGAATGTATGTGTGTATATTGTTATACATTCATGGATATATATATAGAGAGAGAGAGAAAGAGAGAGTACCGAAGAGCAGAGAGGAGAGATGGATTACAAAGATAGAGACAAAGACAGAGAGTTAGATTCATACATAGAAATTAGCCTCACTGATTCTGAACCGATCGAAATCTTTATCAACAGCAGATCGAAATCTGTAAATCTTCATCAATAATTGATCAAAATCTTCAAATATTCATCAAACTAAGAGTCGAGCAAGAGAGAGTGGAAAGTGGACAGTGAGATTTGAGCGAGAGATAGTGGAGAGTCGAAAGAGAGAAGTCGAGTGAGAGGGAGACTTAAAGAGAGATTTCACACACCGTTGGAGATGGATTTGGGAAATAAGAGTGAAAGAGGATGAGTCCGGATCTTCTGCCATACATTCCTACGGTGGTTCCTGCCGTGCTAAAAAACGACGTCATTTTTTACCCCTTTTTTTTTTTTCCTCATTTCTTATATGTTGCTTCAGAATTCAAAGAGAACCCTAGTGAGATGAATAGAGAAAAGAGGCAAAACGACGAGGAGAGGAGAGGCAGCGGTGAGGCGAGGGAAAACGACGGCGACGACGGCGACGACGGCAAAACGACGGCGACGAGGTCCGTTCGTCTTCATTCTCATTTTGATTTGTTGTTGAAACAGATTTTGTGTTTGTTATTTCAAATTTATTCCCAATTTTGTTGCCAATAAATGCTTGTGTTTGTGTTATTCCGAATTTATTCCCAATTAATCTGTTCAATTTTTGTTCCAAATTAATCTATTCAATTTTTGTTTGTGTTTTATTCCCAATTTATTGGAATAATGACATTTCTCACCATTTGACTGCTGAATAATGAGAGATGGTGAGATGTGGAATATAAAATCCTTTAATTTTTTGTTCAATGTTTGAGGTTGCCAGACCAAATTCAGGACTTAACCATTCATTTTCAGAACTATGAATGGTTGAGTCCAGATTAAGGAACCCAGATTAAGGAAGGCCAGATTGATGTATAAATTTATTTTCCAAAGCAGGCTGCTGCTAGGAAACAAACAAAGGACCCCCTTTGAAATTTCTGTTTCCCCTAATTTATGCTCCTATTCTTCCTCTCAGTAAGTAGTAGTTCTGGTTTTTTTTTTGTAATTAATTTCTTTATGTTGGTTCATTGTAAATTTACTAAATTGTATGTTTCGAATAATGGGTTTGATTCATTCAGTGTTTTAATCTTTGCGTTCTCAATTTTCAGTTCAAATTCAATTGCGACATAACCCTGTTTTGAGGGACTGTTGTATTCAATTGAAATTACATCTCGATAAGGTGTTTCTTCAGAGATTTTTTGGCTTGCTTGCTTTTTTTCTTTTTTAGTATCTGAAGTGGGTTTGGTTTAACCTGTCATCTTCACAAATTAAGTAATTTCAATTTGCTACTTGATCTAATTATGCCTTCTGTATGGGGGTAAATGTTTTGACAATTTACTAAGTATGTAAGGAAGATGTTATTTTCAACTATGCATGACATTGCTGCACATGTGACTATAATGACTTTTGAATTTAACAACTGGTCTGGTGCATTTATTTCACTTTAAGTTCTTTATCAAGATTCATAACAACCAGGTGACCTTACTTTCAAAATGCATACATAATTGTATATGTAACAATATTTCCTGAGATAGATGGCATTATGACTGTACATTCAGCTCTATAGACTGAATTTTTTATTTGGAATGTGCAGTTGGATAATTTCAAAAGGCATTATTGTGTTAATGTTGGCTTAATTAGGTAGTGGAGTAAAAACTGATGTGCTGGAAAGTTCAACCAACATATATTCGTTTTCATTCCTAGAAATTTCAAGCTGAAATTATCATATGAGATAGCTTAAAATAGAGTCCTTGGAATTATTTTCTCTTAATTTAGTTTTATGGTTTTGTATTTTTGGTAGATTTGGGCCCTGTAGTTTTTT